GCTTTCCCCATGACCCCTGTCGGCTCCTGCAGTCTCGGGCTCAAGCTTTCGGTATGCTACATCGCACGGCTTCCGATCCTTACGTTATCTTTCAGGGGAAGCTTTGCAGGTCTAACCGCAAAGTCTGCTTCCTGTCTAAACGTGATCTTGAGGCACTTTCATACTGCTCCCCGCTACTATTCCGAAGGGTGGTCAAGTTGCCGGCTCGGTTTCTTATACCGTCGGGCCTTGGTGGTCCTCATTTCACATATGACTGGTGCAAAATCCCATACTTCAAAGCTTGCCGGGACAGCGGCTATCATGGTCTGTATGTCAACGTTCGGGGTCCCGATGAAAGGGTTCGTAGAGTTCCTTGGACAGAATTTGTTGCGGGTCAGTAGCCGTTTCGCCTCAAATCCTTACTGGGGCTCTTGTCTGAGACGGCTGGGAAACCTCCAACTCCAGGGGATGGCTAAACGCTGCCTTCCAGTCAAGCTTGCTGCCAAGAAACGTCTCAAGTGGACACACGGCTCGGGCGGAATGTGGAACTACTGCGAAGTTGACGAGGTCTACACCAAAGTGTGGAATACGGAGTACTTTGACACGTGGATCGATCCCGATTCGGGCTGGCCTCACCCAGTTGTATGCTACTTGTCCGATTACTGGTGGGATGGAGATTTCTTCGTGGAAAAGTGGCGTTGGAGGTACGGCTGAAGAGCATTCCTAAGACTCACTCAGACTGGAATCTTCTGGTGTCCGCGGTGCGTGGGCCTGCGGCTTTCGGAGGACTCTCAGTCTCTCCCAAGCTCTCTTGCATGTATTTCTACGATGGTGGTTTGCAAAGTACAAAAGGTTATAAACATTTCCAGCCACCTTGCGTTCTCCATATTCGTTTGAATTCACCCATATTCCATATTCCTCGACATGCCTGGTGTGAGTTCTCACGGTTGGGATCTCATTCAGCTTTGACAGTTTATCTTGCGTGCCTCCGTATCTTCTGGGTTCATTGCGTGCTTGGGACATTCAGTTTATCATTCAGATTCCCTTTTAGTCATATATATCAGCCTTGACCACTACTCATGTTCAATGGGTTTCATGGGACTTAATGGAAGTTTTCTTCACCTCTTACTTTTGACCTTGGGACCATGTGCTTCCAAGGTTGGGCCCCAATTATCACTCAAGATCTTGTTAGTCAATTTGGGCACCTCTTTCATTATGTTTCTCGTCTTCATTCAACACAAGAGGGATCTAGTGGTGGGATTCATTTGGGATATTGGACAGTCTTTCATTCATGATTTCTTTCAGTATCATGGGTTTCAATCCTGGGTTGGGCTTTACCTTTTCTCCGCCTCTTTCCTCTCCTGCCTCTCTCCCCTTTTCTTTCTTTCTCTACCGTACGCACTTGGCGTATTGGTGGCTTCTCAGGTTTGTGTTTTGGGAGGACCGACCTTTCAAGGCGCTTCATCATCATCATCATTGGCTCCCATTCGGCCCCGTATCGATGGAATCCTCTTGTAGCAAAGTTCCACATGTATTCTTTTTGTGAGGATTTCATTAGGATTCCTTTTGCGGAGGATTACAATGCGATTCCTTTTGTGGACGATTGCGAAACCATTCGGGAGTTTGATTTCATTGCTTTTGTTGCCTGGGTGCTCTGATTTTCTTGTTTTTCATTTGGTTTTGATTGATATTCTTGTTTTTGTTGGTTTTCGGCGCCCTCGCTCCCCCAGCGCCGCCTCCACCTCGCTCCCGGGGGGGGCGCGGGAGAGCAGAAACCAACAAAACACAGGAAAATCAGTCAAAACCAAAGGAACAACAGAAAAATCAGAGCACCCAGGCAACAAAATCAACGAAATCAGCGCTACACACGCACCAGGATTTTTTTTGTGGATGATTACAATAGGACTCCTTTTTGTGGAGGGTTACATTAGGATTCCTTTGGTGAGGATTTCATTAGGATTCCTATTGTGGAGGATTACAAAAGGATTTCCTTTGTGGAGGATTACAAAAGGATTTCCTTTGTTGAGGATTACAGTCGGAATCCTTTTGTGAAGATTTCAGTAGGATTCCTTTTGTTGAGGATTACACTAGGATTCCTTTTGTGAGGATTTCATTCGGATTCCTTTTGCGGAGGATTACAATACGATTCCTTTTGTGGAGGATTGCAAAACCATTCGGGACCTTGATGTCGTTGATTTTGTTGCCTGGGTGCTCTGATTTTCTTGTTTTTCATTTGGTTTTGATTCATTTTCTTGTTTTTGTTGGTTTTCGGCGCCCTCGCTCCCCCAGCGCCGCTTCCACTTCGCACCCAGAGGGGGCGCGGGAGAGCAGAAACCAACAAACAAGAAAATCAGTCACAACCAAAGGAAAAACAAGAAAATCATAGCACCGAGGCAACAAAATCAACGAAATCAGCGCCACACACGCACCAGGATTCCTTTTGTGGATGATTACACTAGGATTCCTTTTTGTGGAGGGTTGCGCTAGGATTCCTTTGGTGGGGATTTCATTAGGATTCCTTTTGTGGGGGATTACAAAAGGATTTCCTTTGTGGAGGATTACGATCGGAATCCTTTTGTGAAGATTTCATTAGGGTTCCTTTTGTGGAGGATTACAAAAGGATTCCCTTTGTTGAGGATCACAATAGGATTCCTTTTTTGTGAGGATTTCATTGAAATTCCTTTTGTGGAGGATTTCAATAGGATTCCTTTTGTGGAGGATTGCAAAACCATTCGGGACTTTGATTTCGTTGATTTTGTTGCCTGGGTGCTCTGATTTTCTTGCTTTTCCTTTGGTTTTGACTGATTTTCTTGTTTTTGTTTGTTGTAGGCCCACAAACTCGTTTGCTTGGCAGGCACAAACGCGCGCGCGCGATAGCGAACGGGAGCGCGGGGCGTCGGCGGCCATGTCCGGCGACGAGCCCGACGCCGCGCTGGAGCGGCGCCGCGCGGCGCTGCCAGCGCTGGCTGTTTGTTCGCTTGGCCGCCGCTGGGATCCCGCGTCGCGGCGGCTCTGCGCGCGCGCGGCGCGCGCGCCGCGCAGGTTCCTTTCCTTGCTGCCAGCCATCGGCGCTGGCAGCTGGGGGTGCGGCGTTTTCTCCGCCGCCTGCTTGCTTCGCGCGCGCGCGCCGGCGGTCCGTCGCGCGCCTCCGACTGCTTGCTCCGCGCGCGCGCTTTCGCCGGCGGTCGCCGCGCCGCGCCTCCCTCCCGTGCAGGTTCCGATGTCCCCCTCCGCTCCTTCTTCCGCGCGCGCCGCCGTCCTCGCTCGCTGCCCTCTCCTTCGCGCGCAGGTTCCTTCCCCGCTCCATCCCCCCAGGTGTAGATGATTTCTACATGGACGACCTCAACGAGCTCACCTCGTCGATTTTGCTAGCTCGAAATCAATTCGCATTTCTCCGCCGAGTAATGGCGGCTTCGCCGGCTTCGTCCTGCGCGGGGGACGTCGGGCCTTCTTGGTGCCCGATGCTCCCGCCAGGGCGGGTGCCGAGCGTTCGGGGAGTCCGCGGAGCGTGCGGGCGCAGCTCGCTTGTCGTGTAATGGTGCAGCGCTCGTGCCGAGCGTACGCGTAAAGAGCGACCAGCGGGGCCCGCTGGCAACTGTGCCACCTCGCAAAGGGCCAATTAATGCCCGCTGGCCAACTGGGGCCCAATGGCAACTGCGCCACTTCGCAAAAGGGCTAATTAGCGCCCGCTGGCCAACTGGGGCCCTTTGGCAACTGTGCCACCTCGCAAAGGGCTAATTAATGCCCGCTGGCCAACTGGGGCCCATTGGCAATGGCGCCACTTCGCAAAGGGCCAATTAGTGCCCGCTGGCCAACTAGGGCCCACTGGCAACCGTGCCGTTCGCAAAAGGGCTAATTAGTGCCCGTCGGCCAATTAGGGCTCATTGGCAATTGCGCCACTTGCAAAGAGCTAATTACTGCCCGCTGGCCAGCTGGGGCCCACTGGCAACTGTGCCATTCGCAAAGCGTAATTTGTGCCCGCTGGCCAACGGGGGCCCACTGGCAACTGCGCCATTCGCAAAGGGCTAATCAGTGCCCGCTGGCCAACTAGGGCCCACTGGCACTTGTTCCACTTCGCAGTGGGCTAATTAGTGCCCGCTGGCCAACTGGGGCCCACTGGCAACTGCGCCATTCGCAAAGGGCCAATTAATGCCCGCTGGCCAACTGGGGCCCACTGGCAATTGTGCCATTTCGCAGAGGGCCAATTTGTGCCCGCTGGCCACTTGGGCTCCTTGGCAACGGGGCCACCTCGCAAAAGGGCTAATTCGTGCCCGCTGGCCAACTTGGGCCCACTGCCAATCGTGCCACTCTCAGGGCCTAACTGTGGCCGCTGGCCAATTGGGACCCACTGGCAATTGTGCCACCCCCCTGGGGCTGGCTGGGCCCACTGCACTCACTCGGCGGCGGTGTCGGGACGCCTTCTGGCCGTCTGGGCCCATGGGCAACCGCGCCACCGCAACGGCCGACTGGGCCTCCTGGCAACTGTGCCATCTGCACCATCGTAGCGGCCGACGGGTCCGCGGGCAAAATGCCATTATTGCTTTTGCAATTGCCTCTGCGCTCGTTCGTGCCCGTACGTGCTCGGCGCGCGCGCGCCCGCGCGGGCGCTGCGCTGCTCCGCCGCATTTGAAGCGCGCCAGTGCAGCAGCAGGGGCGGTCGCGACAGGGGGCGACGCGATTCGGGCGCGCTGACAATGGCGGAGGAGTTGCGCTTGTTTCTGACTGCCGAGGCGCCTGCTCCGCAGGGCTGCCCAGACAAGGAAGCGTTCCTCAATGACCTCGTGGCGATTCTTGGCCGCGCCGAGGCGAGCCCGCCCTCGCGCCCTGCCGCGCGGGTCGGCGGCGCGCGCGCGCGCGGCCGTGGCAGGTGTGGACCCCCCACGCGCTCGCATCCGTTGCACTTGACGAGCTTGATCCGCGCCCCAGCGAAGGGAAGAGGCACGCTCTCGCTGGCGCCATCGAGGCCGCGGCGCGCTTTCGCCCCGGTGGCGCCGCGACGCCGCGCGGCGAGTCCTGCGCAGGTCGCAAAGAAGCGCTTTGCCCCGCTGGCGCACGAGGGCAGGGCGCCGGGCGGCGCGGGCCCCGCTAATGGGGACGACGCGATAAACGAACTTTCCCGCCTGCTCAAGAGAGAGGAAGCCCCAGTCGTCCACGTGGACGTGGGGCAACGGCTGAAAGAGATCAAGCTCGACGATCTCCCGCCGGCATTGTGGCCCAGGCGAGTCCGCGGAACCCGCTTGCTGGATCGGACGCGACGTCTGCGCGGCGGTGTCAGGAGCGCGCGCGTCGACGCCCTTGCGGGCGAGGTCGCGAAGCTGAAGAAGAAAGGGGTGGCCAACCCTTTCGTGTGCGCGGACTTGCGCGATTGGTCGCCGTTGGACGCGCCCCCCGCCGCTGGCGCCGACGCGCTGACATGGAACGAGTGGCGCATGGCCATCGATGCGTACCCCGCGCGCGTTCGGCGCAGTGTGCTTCGCAACGCCGCCTTTCGGCTTCCTGCGAGTTACGCAATTGGCGCAGCCGCGACAGGCCAACTGGCGTACGTGTCCGCCATGGCCCACGAGCAAATTTGCATGAGGGCGCCCCCGCGCGCGCCATCGGTGCCACGCTGTCGCGCGCCGCTTCGTCCGCGCAGGTGGCCATGAACGCGCGCCTGGGCGGCCGGAAAGCCCCTTTGGGCATGCTCTACGACGAGAGCTGCCGCAAGGACTGGGCCGAGAAAGCAGCCGCGGGAGTGCCGGACTTCGCGGCGCGCGCCTTTCTCGCGCGCGCGCGGCGAGGGGCCCGCGGCCCGTTGCCCGCGCCGCCAGGTAGACGTGGCGGCGCGGAAGGTTTGCCGCGAGCTGCTGACCGTGGCCGAGCAGGCGTACGACCGCGCCGAAAGGCCCGCCCGCGGCGACGCGCCCGCGCGATTGTTCGCCGCGCGCGCCGACAGGTCGGCTAAGCCCGCGAGCAAGCCCTCGAAGAGCGGCGGCGGCACGCCCCCCCGGCGGGCCAAGGGCGCGGACGGCGCGTGGACCGCCGCGGGCAGCAGCGGGAGCCGCGGCGAGACGTCGTGGGGGAAGCGCCCGGCGGAGAGCGGATGGGGCAACGCCAAGTGGAAACGCTCGCGCTGGTGAGAATGGTGCGCCACCGCAGGCGCCGCCGCCCGTTCGCCCGTGACAGCCTGGGCTTCGGGCCGCGGGGAAGCGGGCCGCTTCGGGCCGCCCGCTCGCCAAGACGAGCCCGCCGGGACCTAGCGCGGGCGCGTTTGTGCTTCACGTCGAACAATTGTGGCCGGCGCGTGCTCTCGTTTCCCGCGCCGGCACGTGCTCTTGCATCTCGCGCGCAATTCAGTGCCAGCTCGCGACGCGCGACGCCTCGCAGCGTTCTGAGATGACGCGTCTCTCGAAACGCGCCCGCGCCGGCGCGGGCGACGCCGGCGGCTGGGCCAAGAGGGCGCGCGCAAGCGCCGGCGATGAGGCCAAGCTGCGTTTCACGCGGTCAGTTCTTGACTTGGGCCGCGAGGGCTTCGCGCGCGAGTCCTCGATCGGGGAAGACGTGCGCGCGGCCGCCGAGTGGGCCGCGTCTGCGCCCGCCGAGGAGGCGCGCCCCCCCCCCGCCACCACCCCTCTCGCGCAAGGCTGGCGCGCGCATGCGCGCGCGCTCCGCGTCGTGCAGGTCATTGCTCATCGGGAGGCGGCCGCGAGACGCATCGAAAAGATGGGCGCTCAGCTCCGGGCCTCTGGCGAATGTGCGCGGTGGTTCAGCGGCTGTGACCCCGCAGTCGCGCGGGTGCCCGAGTCCGTGAACGGCCCGCTGCTGCGCATGTTAGCGCGCGAATGCGACCATCCAGATGCCGAGGTGGTCGAATTTCTCCGTCAGGCGAGCTCGCGTTTGCCCCGCCTCGGCGAACCGCGCGGCCGCGGCAGGGCGCCCCCCTGATCGGGGTTCTCCCTCGCTCGGGAGTGGGCGAGCCGCGCGACCGCAAGCGCTGCATCTCGGCAGACGAGCTCAGGGCAGGCCCCCCCGAAGGGCGCCGTGCGGAGCTGACCCGCCGATGTGTCGCAGCGTCGCAGGCGCCAAGACGTCTGCTGACAAAGTTCTGAAGCGCGCGAGACGTGATCTGCATTCCGACGCGCTTCTCGCGACCGCGCGTTCGGACGCCGCGCTGGGGCGACTGACAGTGCCGCGCGACGCGGCGGCCGAGCCGCCGCCAGACGGGGCCGTCGTCATCCCGCGGTTCGGCGTCCCGCAGGGTATCAAGGAGGACGGCTCGCCCAAGGCGCGCCGACCTTGGCGCCGGCGCCCCAGTCGCCGCCCTTCGCGCGGCAGGTACGTTCGGTGGACGATTGCAGCGCCGCCGACCTCAACAGAGCGACCCAGCCCCAGGCCGCAGGGCACGCGCCGCCAGAGGTGCAGGCCGGCGCGTCGCCGCGCGCAGGAGAAGTGGCGGCACGACACCATAGATTCGCTCTACGACGTCGCTCAGACGGTGCACGAGGCATCGGGCGGCGAAGATGTCCTCCTGTTCAAGGCAGACATCGACGCGGCTTTTCGCCGCGTGCCACTGTGCCCACGGGACCGCGACTTCGCGTGGGTCGCGTTCCGCCACGGCGATGCAGTGCTCATCGCGCAGCACACGGCTCTTCCTTTCGGCGCAGGCGGGCGCGCGACCCGCGCGCGCCGTCGCGGGGCCCTCTTGCCTTGTCAGTGAGCAGCGTGCACAACTGGGAACGGGTCGGCGCGTTGATCACCCGCATTTGCCGCCAGCTGCTGCGGGTTGCGTTGCTGCGATACGTGGACGATTTGTTCAGCGTCGAACGGGCGTCGCCGGCGCCGCCCGCGCCGTCGCGCGCGACGGCGGCCGCGCTGAGCCGGCGTGTCCGCGCGCAGGCAAGGCACGCGCTGCAATGCGTGGTCCGCGTGGTCCGCGCTCTGCTCGGCGACGCGGCCATCGCGGGCCGTAAGACAGAGCGCGGGCGCCCTCTTGTTATCCTGGGCTTGCAGATCGAGGCGCCCGCCAAGCGTGCGCGCGCGCGTCTGTGGCGCGCGCCTTGGGCCGCGCGGCCAGGTCGATCGCTGGGGCTTCCGCGCTCGTCCATCCGCGGACAAGCGTGCCAAGTGGCTCGAGCGGGTCCGCGCCGCCTTGGCAGCGGAGGAGCTGACCGCCGGGGCGGCGTCCAAGCTGGCGGGCGCGCTCTCCTGGGGTGCATCGCATCAGTTCCGCTGGTTGGGGCGCGCGATGCTGCGACCGCTGTTCGCGCACGCGCACGGCCGCTCGGCAAAGCTGTCCGCGGACGCGATGTGCTGCCTGCGCTGGTGGGCGGAAGTCCTGGCCCATGATATAGTGGAGACCAGGGCTTGGGCCGGCGGCGACGAGCGACCGCCTGTCGTCATTCTCGCGGACGCGCGCGGCACGCCGCCGAATCTTGCGGCCGTGGTTTGCATCGACGGGCGCGTCGAGTACGCGGCGTGGGAACCGCCGGGGCCTCTATTACGGCGGGGCAGCATCGCTTCACGTGCCCGTGCCCGCCCTGGCGCATCGCCTGCCAGCGCGCTCATGGCAATTCCGCGAACGGCGGGACGCCCAGATTGTCGGGCTGGAAATGCTCGCAGTTGGGCTGGCAATGTGCACGTGGGGCAACAGGATCCGCGGCCGCGACGTCCGCATCTACAGTGACAACACGGTCGCTGAGTGCGCCTTCCGACGTGGCTCGGCGGCCGCGCCAGATCATTGCGCGATCGTTCACGCGTTCTGGGCGACCGCGTGCGCAATGCACTTGTCGGTGCTGGTGGACCGAGTCGCTACGGGCGCCTGCTCGCGCCGCCGCGCACCGCCGTCGACACGCGCGCTCTGCGCGTGCGCGAAGACGATAACATTGCCGATCTGCCCAGCCGCGAGGAGTATCGTTTACTCGACGATTTGGGTGCCACGTGGCGCTGGCCGACGCTGTGGCCGCAGTTCCAGCGGCTCCAGCTGCCAGGGTAGCTCGCGTAGCGGGCAGCGTGCGCGCGCGGCGCGGGCATTGCCGCGCGCGCGACCACCGGCTCGGCGGATTTCCGCACGCTCTGACCCGGAGCGGGCGCGCAGCGGGATGCGCGCACCCGCTGCAGCTCGGCGGTTAGTGCACCCCGCGCGCTTAAGCGGTCGCGAGGCCAATGTCCGCCGCTCCCTGCTTGCTTGACGAAGTCGCGCAATGGTGCCGCGGGAGCGCGGCCGCGGCCGCGGAGGAGGTCGCGGCGTGCACGCGGCAGAACGACGTTTTCCGCGTATCCTGCGTCGGGGCGTTGCCGCCCGTCCGGACGTGGAACGGCTTCGAGGCGCCCTCTTCGCGCGCGTTTCCATAGCGACCGCGCGGCCGCGCCGCGTTCGCACGGAGGCGTTATCAGGGGAGGCGGCGCGGATCCTGGAGCGGATGGCCATGGCGCGCCCTCCGCCCGGCCCGCCGCCGAGGGGCGCGGCAGCCAGCGCGGTCGGGCATTCTGCCGCCGCGCGACCGCGCCAGCCCGCTGCGTGCCTCGACGCCGAGTCTGTTTCGTCGTCGAGCTCGGACTCCTCCTCTGAGTCAGCACCGCGTGCAAGGCCGTCGCAGCGCGCGGCGCTAGCCCGCGCCTATCCTGCCGCCGTGTACTTTGAGCGCGAGTGCGCCAGCCGCTCGCGGGCTGGGCCGGCGGCGAGCGCGCGGGCAGCGGCCGAGGCGCACGGCCACTTTTCGGATGCGCAGCGGGCCGCGCGGCTGGAGGCCCCGCGCGCGACGGCCCTCGTGGGCGGGGCGCCGGCATCCTTCGGCACGTGGCGCAGCGCCCCGCGGAATTATTTCGCGTTCGCCGCCAAGGTTCTGGGCAAGCGCGACAACGAAGCGCTGCCGCCCTTCCTTTCTGAGCTCGCGCTGCGGGCCACGCATTTTCGCAATCGCAAGACGTTTGGCAATTGCAAGGCGCAGGTCCTCAAGGCCTGCAGGCTATTGCGCCTTGATTGCAGCGCTTTCGACAGCGCGGAAGCGAGCGGCGCGCGCGCCGCCGTGCGCAAGCGCCTGCGCGAAGAGCCGGCGCCGAAGCCCGCGATCGGCCATCGGCTCTTAGTCGACATGCTTGCGCGCGTGCCCGACGAGGCCACTCGGGGCCTTTTCGTCGCGGTTTTCGCGTTCGCTCTTAGAGTGCCGTCGGAGGGCCTCCGAATCGAGAAGGGTGACCCGCGCATGGCCGCGTCCTTCTCCTTCTCTGACGAGGATTGTCGCGCGCGCAAGGCACGCGCGGTTGTTTTCTTCGCCGGCGGCCGTGTCACCCTGCATTTGAGTAGACGCAAACACGTCGACCATCCCTCGCGCATCGTGCGCAGCTGTTGGTGCGCGGCGTGCACAACCACTTGCCCCGTGCACGCCCTCGGGGCCTTCTTCGACCGCGCGCCGGCGGGCGCCGCGCCGTTTGCGCACCTGTCGTGCGGGTGCATTCTCAGCTTGGTGCGGCGGCTCGCCCATGAGGCCGGCGAGCGCGACTCTGCGCACTTTTGCACGAAGTCCTTCCGGCGTGGCCACGCGGAGACTTTACGCCGCAGCGGTGGCAGGCTCGCAGAGATTCTCCGTGCGGGCTGCTGGCGCTCGGGCGCGTTCCTCGACTATATGGATCGAGAAGAGCTCGAGGGCGACGCCATGCTGGAGGCGCTGCAGGCAGGCCAAGCACCTGCGCGCGTGCCGGGATAGCTCTCGCGTCAGGGGAGCGCGCGCGCCAGCGGTGGCTGGCTCGGCATTGGGTTTCGCGCCCCCTCCCCTGGCGGCTCCCTGGCTACCGTCGGCATTGGGGTCATCGGCACCCAGGTGACCCTGCCAGGGGATGGGCGCCGCGCCCTGGGCGGCGAGTGCGCAGACCCACGGGCGCGGCCCGCCCCCTGGGGGCGCCGCGCCCAACGATGGGGTGCTGGCGGCCTCGCAGGGGCGGTCGCGACAGGTGCGCGCGCTGCGTTTGTGGTAGGCCCACAAACTCGTTTGCTTGGCAGGCACAAACGCGCGCGCGATAGCGAACGGGAGCGCGGGGTGTCGGCGGCCATGTCCGCCGACGAGCGCGACGCCGCGCTGGAGCGGCCTGCGAGGGG